TTGTCAATTGTCACTCATTTTATAACTGATTATTTAAAAATAGTTAGTTACATTTTACACAACGCACATGTGCAAAAAAATTAATGTTTCCATAGAAGTATCATCTAGGAATAAATTGTTATGCGTTAAAAAATAGCGAAAGTAATTTTTGATTATAATCTGTATTATTTTTTAAATTTCTCTCTTAAGAATAATCGAGAAATTAAATTTCATTTGTATAAACATAATCATTTGTCTCAATAATTTTTAAATTTGAATTTAACAAACTAGAAAATTATAAAGAATTATTATTGTTAAATAATTCAAAAGATACAATTTCGATCTTATTTCATTGTATTTTCAAAAAATATTTTATTTAATGTATCATGCAATGTTTATTTGCATAGATGACATTCTTTCAATCCATAGAAATTCAAATTTTTACGATTGTCATTTCAATAAAGGTTTCCGACTGTTGCAGTCGATTTCTTTTACTGAAAGAAGTAAGCAATGTTAACGCTGGGTGGTTCCGCTATCAAACGGTTGAACGCCTTCGAAGACGAATGTCTCTCGTCTCTTCTCCGATTTTTTCCTCTTACCGTCACCCCTTTCTCCTTCTACTTCCTTTTCCTAGCCGGCAGCTTTCAAGCCCCATTACCGTCGCTTTGAAACAAGCCACAGTAGTCCGATGAGCTTTTTTATTGCTCTAATATTGGCCACAGCTCAAATCCGTTTGCAAAAGATTGCCGAATATTTCGACAAAAAGCCGTCTCGATTTTTTGTTTTGTGTCTCACTGGCTTCATAAATTTCATCAACCTCTTTAACCCTATAATTTTAATTTCACGGTGAATTTATATTTTCATACAAACGAGATATTAAATTAAAACATTATCTTTGAATCTAATTAAATGTTTTAAGTTTGTGATTAACGTCCAATTGAATGCACCATATGTTCTGCCTTACTGAGATATCAGTTAACATTGGGATTTTCCGGTGTTTGTGCAAAGTTCAGACGAAATTCAACTGACGCCTTGTTTGTTGACGTATTGACTTTTCCAAAGAAGATCTTTGATTTTGATCGACACGGAGATTCACATTGATCCGAGTTATTAGTGGAGACTCTTGGCCCTCAGCGAGTGCATGAAACGTTGGAATTGAGATTTAAACAAGCGTCACAGTTAGAGAAACCGGCGAATCACACTTACATAGACTTCGTCAAATCCGTTATCCAATTCTGCGCAAAATTGATCTTTTTATAATTGCTTGTCGCTCGCTTCATGAACCATAGAACGACTATTACTTCAAAGTAGCACGTGCTATCTAATTTTCTTGATCTTTGGATGGCATATCTGTCATAATATGTTCATAATATTCAACGAGGAGCCAGAACAGGTTGCGTTGTGTCAACATAACTCATTGCCAGTATCAACAAGAAACGGTTACATTCAAGAAGATTGTACATGATCTCACAAGCATGAGAATGTTTCTGTCCCATTGTCGTAGTGTAAAAATTTCGATACTTCTTTCTATTAAAGAGTACGTTCATATATTAATTTTTTTAATAATAAAGTTTTGCATAACATATTTACTATACATATTTGCATATTTATAAGAAAATATGTGGATAAATAAAAAATTATAGTAATACGAACAAAGAATAATTCAAAAAGTAGAATGCTTTCTCGTATGGAGTAAAAATTCTTATTTTGTCTGCTTACTGAAACCTACGTTCGGTCTTCAAAGTATACTCGTCAGACAAGAGGAAGTGCTTTTTGTCCTGCCTGTGCATCCTACGCGTATATTTAACTTGGCATACCTACTTCAACACCTTCCGAGCGCGAAGAATGCTGACTTCTTTTTTCTATTGTCCATTTCTTAAAATTTTTCGTCTTAACTCTAACTAAAAGGATAAAATAAAAAGAAATTCATTAGTTTAAGTATTAAAATTTAACTAATTAAAAAATCAAATTTAATTAGAAATTAAGAAATTTGAATTAATAAGATAATAATTTTTAAAAAAAGAATATTTTTAAAAGTTTGATTTAATATTATTTGAAATGTTCATTTTAAAAATTAATGTAATATCTATCAATGATTCTGTTCTATATGATTACAAACTTGAAACTGCATGTATTTGTTGTATGCAGAACTAAGTATTTACATTCGGTCTCATACTGAGAATATTTTGTCAATCATCAGTTGTGCTCGTTAGTGAGATCCATCAGTGACGCGGATGCGTCTCGGCGACTTAACTTCTCGAAATAATCACGTAAATGCATAGAACTTGCTTTTTTCTTTTCTCTGTTGCTCTGTCACGTTTGTGGACTAAATACAAATGTACTACGTCTGGAATTCGTATAAAACCAAATGTTATTTTCATGATCGTGTCCTAAAAAATTTATTTTATCACAATAACATAAAATTTATATGAACAAATTGCTTTGAATCCATATATGAACATCATTTTCGATTAATGATACGATAAAAATGCTACATGAAACGATGCAAATATAATATGCAAACAGAGTTGTTATTTAATAAAAGATTATTTAACTTTTCAGCGCACAAGATATCAATTACTAAACATTAAAAATAATAGAAAAACCGAAAAAAAATTTAACAAATAAATATATGAGTAAATAAGTAAGATCTAGATTGTGACGATACCCGCGATAGTTGTTCATTCGAGCAGGTGGTTTTGCACGAGGACACGAAGCAGTGCTTGGCTACTGTTTTCAGAATAAACTAGTGAGCTTATACTCATAACAAGAAAAATATTAAATCACCGTCATCGCCTGTACCACCCTATCAAGGCCCTTATCTGTGTAGCACTTTTCGATAGTATAACCGTCTCGAGTCAAGAAGCTTATTTGCGCTAACCTCGTTTCGATTATTTTTATTTTCACATCGAGACATTAATACATAATAAATTTACATCGTTGATTATTGCTGTTTCGTATTAATGTTCGCTTTGTTGAAAAAATATTCGCGGGGTAATTCACAGTTCGTAAAATATCTTCCTATGACGTATAACATGCAAAATTAAAATAAATTTCCAGCTTGAAAACAGGCATCCACTGAACATCTACATTGAGCAAATCGTATATCTTCTTGTTTCTTGTTGTCGAAAAATATAAACGTATATAATCTCTTTTGCCACGTATCGTCTTAATGGATAGAGAAACGTTTGCTAGTTTATTCGTTTCTTTTCTTGTTTACCCGTCGTAGCACAAATTCCTTATATACTACCACATCAACAACACACCGGTTGAGCTATTATGATCGTTGGTAATGCTATTTTGAAGATAGGACGACCTGCGGACCAATCCGCGTTGTGTTCTCATTCTACCGTAACACCACAGGAGGCACTCGTGTACAATGGGCTTGCGTAAGGGCACACCAGATCCTATGGCTAAGAAACGCTCGATTTACCATGAAATCGGTGAATGTAGCAGTATGTACACTCGCTTCCCCACTGTCAGCACGATGATCTTTTTCAGGGGATTGTGTTTGAACAGTGAGAAACTTGTTTGTATCAATTCATTTTCAATTAATTGTTATTTAATATATTTTTTTTATCAAATAGATCAAAGGAAAAATTCGTTATTATGTTTTTTGACAAATTAATTTTGAATTGTCATTTTTTCGCGGTTTATCTATAGTTTTTATTTCTATGGTTAAAGAATCTTATTTATGTAATAGATTACATGGACGAGGAAATTTTCTATTTTTATAAGATTACATCGATATTAAAGTACAAAAAAGTTAGAAAATTCTTTACGATCATTGATAATTGCAGTGTAAGCGTAATAACTCAATCTGACGTAAAAAAAATGTAAGTCGAACAACGATGTGGTTACCTTCTCACGGGAACAAACACGGCGTAACTATCGGAACACGAACTCGAAACAATCAGCTCATTGTCTGGCTCTCATTGTATATCTTTCTAGGCCGGGAGGATCGTATCCACGGGTCTGAAGGTGCATCCACATACAATACATACGCGCGATGGGCGCGTAACAATACAATCGGTAGGCGACAGGGGGATATCACGCGCACCACTGGCCACCGGCAATGACTTAATGCTATTTGGAGTCTACAGTTCTCTTGCACGCCATTATGCACGCGTGGCGAGTGTACTCGTCCGTGAATGCCGTAATATCAAGACTAAAAAGAGACGCCGACACAACGGAAATGTTTACGGTTTCATGGGTTGCTTTGGATTGCTTAGCAGGCAAAATGTGATAGATTTCTTTGGGATGATGTTAAAGATGTAAACCCATATGGCAATCCTTTTGTGTGTAATATATTCAATGAAATGGAACGTTCATTTGCAGTTGACACTTAGAGGTTGTGTATTTTATCAAATTACAACATATAATTTTGATTTTCAAATTAATATTCATCTAAATATATATTGACAGAGATTTAAAGAAAGGAATTCAATTTACTGATGAGGTTATAGCGAAGATGTAATTCCAGGAAGCTGAATCCCTTGTTAATTTGAACGGTTTAATGGCATTCGGTGTCAGAATTTCGTGGGACGTACATACGTGTAAACAGACACGGTGTCAGGCAACGTACCGTACGGGGGTTGAACACCCTAAAATTAGCCCCGAAGCGGGATGCGACGCGTATACGCGAACGCAGTACGTATTGAACGTGAACCCACACGCGTAGAGAGCGTGAAAAAATGCTTACATTATCATCTGTAATTTCGTAAACATACCGTGGGTTGTACAGGGACTAGATTATGGGGACCCGTTGGTGCACCCGTTGCGGGTGGCCCAAGAAACGAACCATCTTCCGTAGTACGTTTTCACTTTGGGAAGTGGAAGGAGCATAAAAAAAGATTATGATTAAGGAAACCACATGTACCGATGCGTTAATAAAATGGAAGATAGTAAAAGATGTGTAATTATATTCGTATCGCGTATAATCAGAAAAAATATTAAACAAATTAATAATATTATAATTTTTGTTTTTATATTTTATGATATTTGACAAAAGATTAAATAAGAGAAAATATGTGACTTTAATGATTTATTATGTTTACAGCATAGAAAGAACGGAAATATATGGAATAATGAGCCGAAAAACGAAATGAAAACGCTCATTTCTGACAAATGTGAAAATCATGATATCAGAGGAATTATTTCGTTCCCCATGGTGTTCCAACTTTGTAAACAACGCAGGAAACAAATATAAAGTATTCACGAGCACAGCATCATTCGATGAAGTTGTATCGCGAGCGACAAGGATCGGTCGGTATACGTTAATTAATTGCCTATTTTAAATTCGAATTACCATGCTATAATAACGTGTCACGCGTTAGGATAGCCTCGGGGAACAATGTTATGGACGAAGAAGATAGATGCGCGGAAGGGATGGAAACCGGCAGAGACATCGATACATTGATGTTCCTTGATGCATTGGTAGATGTGCCAATTAAATTCGAAATTACTGGCGAAAATGAGCAAATTGTTGCATACCAACGATGTGTAAATGTGCCTACCTATGTGTTCCTGGGAACGTTTCGCACAACCGATTTAGCATTTAACGTCATAATGACGTTTGCATTTTCGACTGGCACCATTGTTTACTTTATTTCGAATTAAACCACGATTAAGTGTGACCTCATCTACACAGATATCCATACAATGATCATTACGTTCCAATCTCCAATTGTTTAGAAATTTTTGACAAGAGATATTCCATTTATTGAATAAAATGATATTGAGATTGGAACGTTTTGAAACCAAAAATAATAAAAAAATTTATCTCTGATTGAATGATAGAATAATAATCTATCAGATAAAAATTTTAATTTCAAGCTAATTTAATATTCACATTTAATATTCAATTGTTAGTTTTTTTTTTTACCTAAAATCAATATGAAAGAAGTCATTAAAAAGAATGTTGTAAAACACAAGTTGACTCGGAAAGATTAATGATTACTATTATTATACGATAGTAATTTAAAGACAATATTAAAATTTAATCTAAACATTCAGTAATAGTTATAGTAGCACGTTTCAACGAACTGGTCACATTTGACATATTTTTTTTCAATAGAGATATTTATAATAAGTTTGGGCAATCGTACGCCGATAAAATCGCTTTCAAACGATTTTCACAATGGCGGTCGTGACAAGACGATGTGCTACATTCAATGGCTATCGATTTGTTCCTACAGATTCCATTGGATAGCAACAGACCTTCGTTCTTCACGCCGACTCGTACCAATTTCTATTTGTCCCTCCATTTTTCCTTATATTTCGATTTTTTTAAATTTCATTCCTCCTTTGTGTTCTTTTTCTCCCATTTGAAAGAAAAGGCAAGCAAATTTGCAAGGAAAAGAAAAATCAAGAGAGGGATAAAAATAGAGATGATTCGAAATATTGTAACTTCGTCGTACGTTTGTAATTGCCAATTTTAATTGGCTCCTGTTCGTTTCTCATGTCCATTCCGTTCTTTTTCCCCCGATTCTTCCCCGTTATCTGCGAGCAGTTTTTCCTTTTACCCTTTGCTCGGATTGCATCAGTGTGTTAGATGTAAATGAAATTCTATTTATCCACCATCACGCTCAACCAGACTCTTTCGTTCGTTTTTTTCTTGCTTTCTGTTTTCACATACATTCCCTTTTGCTTCCGTGTGACCCTGTCCATTTGTCAGGATACAACGAAATGGTGAATTTCGTTCGTTTCCGTGAAAGTTTGTTTTAATGGCACCTCTGGTCTGTTTCAACTTGCCATTGTTCCAAACTTCGAGGAGCTATCATTTTATTTGACTATCTTTCTAAAAGAAATATTATCAATTTTTATAATTTCTAGCCATAAATTTTTCTATTTAATAAGATGTGAAAAATTTCGCAAGACTTCATAAGATTTCTGATCGAAATTCAATTCTAAAATCTCTATTGCAATTTACGTGGTTCTAAAGTTCGAAGAAAATTTCACAACAAGGAATCAAGGTATCTGAACAATTTTAAGTTTTTATTACATTAGGATTTTTTCTTAAATTTTATGTTTCTTCACATCTATGCCAGAAACTCATAATCATAATCATTCATAAGGAGCGAGATAAATTTTACAAGTAGAACGAATGAAGAGAGAGAGAGAGAGAGAAGGAGCAACGACTACGACGATAGAAGCCGACTACGTGTATCGAGGTTAGGTCACGGCACTCCAGCAGCGATTCCAGTTTCGCGTTTTGCCGCGGGTCTCTGGGAAACGCACACCTGTCGTCTTTCCCCTGAACGAGCAGACGATGGCGAAGCCCCCTTTCTCTTCCACGTTTCTCTCTTCGATTCGCGGTACGTTCTTCTCTTTTCACCCTTGTCTCTGCGCTTGCTTCCTTCACTCGGATTTTTACGTCAAAAATATTTGTTGAATTACTAACGATGTGTATTTTTATGTGTTACACATCTATTTCTTTTTTTTTTCAATGGAAATTTCTAAATGAAAGTTATATTTGTATGTAGTACCTATATTACGATAATAATTATATAACAATGATAGTAGATTCATTAGTCCTTAAAAACATACCGATGTTATTGTAGGCTTCTAGATTGTTTTAGGGAAATTCATCTAGCAATATATTATAGAAACAATAATAGGAAAAATTTTGATTCGAATGATTTAAGAAATTCTTGATTTTCTTATTATAACTGATTAATAATATCTTATATAATAAGGATAAGTCATATTATAATTCAAATCTGCTGTATTTTATAGGAATTTTTATAATGGTTTATTGATAAAAAAAAGGTTAACGTACCTCGTATTCCAAACGTAACATCTTTTTCTTTTTTTATAAACCGTTTAAAGTTTATCAATAAAAACAAATTTTCTTTAGTGTTTATTAGAAGAAAGACAAGAAATCGTTATTGGTTTCAACTCATGATCCTTTTTTTTTTTTGTAGTTTTTCGCTTTGCATAAACTTTCGCTGGCCAGTATGTATCTCATTGTTGGGTTACTTAGAAAAAAACGCCTTTACGTAAGTCGGAAACGAAGAAGATTTACGCTGTACGATTCTCTTTCTCTCTTCGTCCATTTCGTAGAGCGTACTGTTTGTTTAAGTAAGCCGACGGCCAAACTTTTTTTCTCTTTCGTTCACTTGTTTGAAATTGATGATTGCATGGAACCGCTAATTCCGCCGCAACGGTTACGCGCGAGAAACAAAAAAAAATGAAACGATAGATGGGGAGGGGGGAGGGGGAAGGATGGAAAAAAGAGAACAAAATGAAAGCAAGAAAACGTTGCAGCTTGAGCGTGCGACTAGCGTTTCCATCACCGAATAATCGTCGTTCATCCATGGTTTTTCCAACGACGCAATGTTTACGCCACACGTGGGAACGTAGTCTCGATGCCATCAAACTTTTCAACTGTTTTTACGATGAAGATTCCTGTTAAAAGCGAAACTTTTTCGTAACTACGTTTCTTATAATATGATTAGTCGGTTAAACCGTACTCTTCTTACCGGCAATGAGTCACGTGACTTATCCACGTGATTAGGTTAGATAGTATTGAGTTCGTTCTAATAGTAAGTGTAGTCAAGAATAGAATATTTTTTATTGACAATATTTTCAATAATTATCAATAATAAAAGTTTTTTACCGCCAATGATAATTTTATGGTTTGAAAATCAAGATGAATTTGAACGGAAATCAAGTATTTCGTGAGAAGTGGGTTTTTCCTGTCAATTCAGACGCTTCATAATAAGGTACGAAGATTATTTAGGTTAAGAATTGAACGAAGGGATCGCACATTTTTCATCGCGTATTTGCACGCTGTAGGGTGAATAATTTTAAGTGTTTGCCATAGAGATAGAGATCGAGGGCTCGATGACTTTTGCACCCTCGAGTTCAGTCGCTCTAAAATTGCCCCAGTCTGACTCGGTTGCGGAACCGCGTGTTTGCTCGGTTTAGAGGCTAATGCCGGGCCGCCATCACGAGAGTTTACATTCCGTACAAATACCACTTCTGACGTTCGTCACTTTTGCCCGTCGATCGCTAATTCGATTCCGCCTTTGATAAAGTGGCTTATACAAGCAATTAATAAACTTCTCCATAGTTTCTCGTTAATTTAATTGACTTTGCATTATTATATACAATTTTTTAAACAATTTTAATTAAAAAAATACATATTATTTTCATACGTATTTGAATTTTCTCGTTTTCAAATTAGACAGACGTTCGAACAATAATCAATGAAAATGTGCGCGCAATGTGCATATTGGAACAAGACACGTTTACCTTCCAGGAGATTCTCGATCCTGGATTTTCCATAAACCGGAGACCCTAAGGCGGCTAGAACGGAATAGACTGACGCGTGCTCGAAGGGATTCTGCTAACTGGTCGATAGGTATATTCTCTATCTTTCGGCGAAGTAACGGATTGGCGGCACAGGACGTTCTAAAGCCTGGCTTTATCCGGAGCACGTGTTTCGGCAGATGCAGTTAAATACTGCCTCGAGCGAGAACCATCGAACAACTGAACGAAACTTTACTCGTTACAAAATCATAATGTTGTTTTGTTGGTCATGAAATTTTCTCTCATATTTTAACAAGTAAAAATTAATTATAAATAAATCTCTCGAATATACTTTAAATATAATCTCGCGTTATTTTAATAAAGAAATAATTGTTTATTGATAATTGTCATAATATATCCATATCAAAAGGAATATTAAGTTTTGATCTTCTTCAAAAGATATTCGTCAATTATATAATTCAATAATGAATTATTTTCAATATCTTTAATAATTGAATATGTCTTCTTTATATTTTATATAATCATGTAGTCTAACGAATATGTAATAATTATATATATATATATATATATAAGTATCAACATTGAAATTTGATGTTTTTTTTGAAAAATTTCTATGAATCATATACTTTAATGTCAGTACATTCAGCGTTGTGATCGTTGCAAAGAAAATTCCATTGAAATTACGCAGTTTCCGATGTCGTTCGATCGTTCAAATATCCGGAATGAACAGAGCCGGGCGAATGTTGCAAGATATTCTTACCTTTCCATTATCGCCCACGTCGATACGGTTCGCGGAGAAATAACGTTTCGCAGATCGCGATTAGAAATATAATCAGGATCGATCTCTGTTCGAAGAGATGTAACAAAGTGCCGCTCGAATGCAGCTCACGAACGGGGAATCGAAGCGTCTAGTCTGTTTGAAAATTTCTTGAAGCTTTTAAACGGGTTCAAGCTTTTTGTATTATTGTTATCGCGATCTCGACGATGCGCTGCTTTTATATCCCGTCCGCTTTTTTTTTTTTTACGCCGTAAAATCGTTCGTTTTATTAATCCGATTCAAATGATTGTTTGTTTTCTTTTTCTTTTTTTTTTTTTTAACTTTCTTCTCTTTTATATTTTCGCGTTTCCAACCTGTCGCGCCATTACGGGCGGAATAAAATGTATTTTTTTCAAGAGAGGAAATTTTTTCCACGCGATAACGGAATTAATTTTGATCGATGCCGCGGGTAATTAAACGGCCGTGTTGTTTTCGCAGGTGTTTATACCGTTTGTGTTCGTACCTGTACGAGTATACTTTTGTAAGTAGCCGGTTTTGTTGTTAAGAAAAAAAAAAAAAAAGAGAAAAAAAGAACGAGAACAAAGTAAAAAGAAAGAAAATTGTAACGAAATATTTTTTTTTCGAACCTCCTCTCTTCCCGTAATATCAATAAACATTTTAAACCGTTGAGCCATAATAATAGTTTTACAAGTGTCGGTTGTGTGTCGGTATTGTCGAAATTTGTGGAGCAGGGAGGGGGGAAAAAAAAAGAAAAAGAATTGGATAAATCGAAAATTCATGCAAAGATATATATCTCGAAGAAACAACACTGTGTTCTCGTTTCGATTCATTACGTTTATTTCGTAAGGTTTCGTATTCGCATCGACTCATCCTACGTTAATAAGTTTGCGATTATTATTACTAATCGTAATATCAATATGTTTCTGTATATATAGATCTGTCTATTTATACATATATAGTTTTATCTATACAATCTATTATATCTATATATATATATATATATACTTCTTTTTTTTTTAATTAATATACACGCAGAGATCTATCTACGATACGATTCCGTTTTAATCGTGAATTATTCACATTATCCGTTTTCTCATATAATATATATATATATATATTCGTTGAACGACCAATCTCGTGCAGCCGAATCGCGCGCATCGGTTTACAAGGAATGACGTTACGCGAATAAATGCACAAAAATCGAGACACGCAATCCCTCACGCACAAGGAAACGATCATATATCACTTTTTACAAACAAATTTTTATCACCGCCGTATGTCTCGTTCCGCTGATTTAATTAGGAAAAGTTTTATCGTTTCAAACGTGCAATTAGTGGAAACAGATTAAATATTTTAAACCGGGATATTAATTGATACATTTTAAAACTTGTGAAAATGCAAATTATATTTTTGAATAGTGTATGTACAGTTGACATGTTTTAAGAAAAAAAAAAAAAAACAAAACAATTTGTATCTCTCCCCCTATATGTCTATGAATTATTGTTTCTGATTTTTAAAACATGTATTTTGATTACTTGATATAATTTACAACGTCGCTTCCACTAATTGTACTAACCTCTTTTTGTCGCAAAAATGTTCAATGCGATTTCTACGAATTGTCGACGTGATTTTCTTTACGTTTAAATTCTTAATGAAATTTCGTAAATAATTATGATGATAATTAATAATAAAATAATTATTTATATCAAGCGTAATAATACACAATCAGCCCAATATTGGTATCCGAGATTAAGGAAGATTGATAAATGAAATATTAGTTCGAAATCAAATTATGATGATTGAACTTCATCGAAGCACTATTATTCGATTTTTGAAACACTAATATTTAATTTAAAGTTAAAAATTCTAAGTGAATTAATCTCGACTTGAATTCAGTTCAGATATTCAAATGTACCGTAAACAGCGAGTAATGAATTTTTGAAACGTTATAAAAGAAAAATTATTGAAAATCGTATATCAATATTGTAGCAGCATTGAACACCATTTTGTGTAATATTTTTCATTTTGTGAAATCCGTTTTTGCATGTACCAGCATCCATAGAGATTCGACTTCGCATCGAATCGGGCAAGGACGCCCATTTCCCGAAATATTTTTTTTTCCGTCTGATCAATTCGTTGCAAGTTTGCACAGTTGCACCGTATATAGGAGCCACTGCGTATCTCCATGCAAATACGATCATAGCGAAAAAAGAAATTTCGAACCGGTCAAAATTACCGTAGATCAGGAAAGAGACCTGCCTTTGTTTGCTCAGGTGACGACCATCATCATTGATATTCACAGCTGGTTTTAGGATACGTCTCGCGCCATACAAGCTTCCGATTCATTAATGAATGACTCTGTATGCGATAAAATTGATCACAAACCGAATGCATCAACGCGTCGATCTAATGTTTTCCAATATCACCGATTTATTTATAGTGCTCCTTCTATTAAATCTTTCGTGTAACGGAAGGAAAGAGGTTTAAAAGAGAAGTTTAAAGAAAAAGAAAAAAAGATGTTCGTTCGTTCGTTCGTTCGTTCGCGGGTCGTAGAAAGAAATGACAGAAAAAAGAAAAAAAAAAAGAAATTATCGCGGTCTGGAGCGCGACCAATTCGAGGTTATGCGTCGATCCGTGAACTCCTTAGGCTGAAGTAGCGCACGTGTATTTGGTTTTTTTACGTTTGAAAAAGCATATAACGTGATCGCGATAATCATTCTCCGAAATGTCAAGTATCAGTCGGTAACTCGAGTTGGCATGCGACAACGCACCGTTGCCGATACCTTTCGTTTCTTGCTTCGGTATCTCGATCGATATAGAATTGTAGTATCGGGATAAGATTCGATAAAGTATAAAATGCGTCAAACTATTTTCACTCGGCTAAACACTAAAATCGAAGTAGAAATTGAACGCTGTTGAACGTTGAATTATTCGAACAATTCGGGGCAAATGTATATATTTACCTCGTGGCGAGAATCCCTAAAATAATTTTTCCCCTATTATTCGTTAATATTCATCTCCGCACCTACAACGAGCAGCTACGTGTAACATTCGCGATCATTCTTTTTTTTTTACGCGAAGGATAAAATATTTACAATTACGTATCGTGCAGTTTCTTTTTTTTTTTTTTTTTCCCCCCCGTCGAATCCAGTTTTCTCGAATTATCGTTTACTTTCGCCCCGTTCCATCATGGATTTCCAGACTTATCTAATTCCATTCTTTGGCGAGGTCTTCCGTGCAGGGGATCCACTCTTGCTTCACGTAAACCAAGCTCGGGTCGTAGTGATCGGTGTGATGTTCTTCAAGGCCCCGGTGATGAGGCCTTGAATTTCGGTATTCTCAGTATTTGTGCAACGTGATGGGTAGATTGCCGCTGGTGTTGACGGTGTTACAGTCTTGATAGTAACGGTGGTACAAGGGTGGAGACGGGGCTGCACTCGACGAGAGCGGCGTTGGTGGGCTGGATCTGGAACGTGTCGATATTTTTCACGAATGTAAATTCCCAATAACGACTCGATACGGATTTCGATTTCAAAATTCCAACCAATTACGAGAAACAGGCGTTTCGCTCCCTCTCCATATTCAACCGTTGATTAATTACAATTACGCGAAAGCGTCTCGTGAAAAAAAGGAGAGGACGTATGTGTACATAATCGCGTACATCCCCCTTACCTGTAAAGTTGACAGCTTGGCGATTGGGTATCCTGATAAATGGCGGCGGCGTCAGGGCTGGCCGCCTCCTGATACCACTGCGAGTGGCCCGCCGTATTGTTGTGATTTCTCGAATTGTATTCCGCGTGATCCATTATGTAACCAGGTGTGGGCGTGCAGTAAGGCGCGTACATGGTTCCGGGCGGCGAGCCGTTGCTCCTGGACACGGAGCTCGTGTGGCCGTATCCGGTGGTCGCCATCATTGCCGCGACAGCGGCCGTCGTCGTGGTCGTGGCCGTGCAAACGGACGGCAAGTGATCTCTCGACACCACCCCAGCGCCCATCGACTCTCTGCTCGTCATGATCGAGTGCGAGTGAGGGTGAGGATGTTGAAGTCCGTGGGGATGATGCGTGTGATGCTGGTTCTCCCTGGTCATCAGAGCGGCGCTGTTCTCCCGGCTCGTCATTAAAGCGTCCACGCTGAAACTGGTCGGATCCAGGCCCATCGAGGACACGTCCTGGATACCGGCATCCTGGTGGACCTGATGAGCTTGATGCACTTGGTGGCCGAGGGCCGTCTGGATGACACTTTGCCCGGGCACAGCGACGGCCGTCGTCGTCGTCACTGCCGTTTTCGTGTCTTGAATAGGACTGTGGAGGCCGTACTTGGCCTGCACGGCCATACAGTGGCTCCCCGTGTCGTTCACGGGCTCTCTCTTCGGCTTGCACAGCGTCGTCTCCAAGGTGCCCAACTTCTTGGCCGACGTGTCCGACGGCGGCGGTATCACTATGTTGCTCGGCTTCGTCTCCTCCTGGCTACGTTGCTTCTCGGCCACGACCAGGCCTTGCCTCTTCAACGCCTCCTCCTTTTCCTTCAACGCGTCCTTCTTCTTGAACCGTCTACGACGCCTGAGATAGGAACCGTTGTCGAACATGTTGTAGCTGTCCGGGTCGAGCGACCAATAGCTTCCCTTCCCGGGTTTCTTGTCGTCCCTCGGCACCTTCACGAAACACTCGTTCAAACTGAGGTTGTGCCTGATCGAGTTCTGCCATCCCTGCTTGTTCTCGCGGTAATAAGGAAAACGTTCCATGATAAACTGGTAGATACCGTTCAGAGTGATCTTCTTGTCGGGCGCGTTTTGTATCGCCATCGCGATCAGAGCTATGTACGAGTACGGGGGTTTCACCATGTCCTTACCGGGATGATGGATATGTTGCTGGGTTATACCCGAGACTGGGTAACCTGCCGCCGTCGCGTACCCGCCGTAACGATATTGTTCGTAATATCCAGGCGCCGCGCCCACCCCGGGATACGACGGGGTCCCCATCCCAACGGGAACAGCCGTTGCATGCCTGTAATACGCATTCTGCTCGCTAAATAGCGTATGCATCTTTTAGATTGGACTAGACTCGCCTAGAATTTTCTAGATCGATCGCGCCACCTGTTACCCGTCAATTTAAACAAAATTTCTCGGATCACTGTTCGAACCAACGTACGAACAATCTTCAGAACAGTTTCGACATTCTTGTTATCGACATTTTATTTTATTGTACATGATATTTCTCTAGAAATATGGATCATCAATTTTCTCGATCGTCGAGTTTTCACTCACTGATTTCGATCAGTCACTTTAAGAAATAATTCAATTTACACACTTTGTTGTCACACACAGACGAGCGTCGAGAATCCGCGATTACGAGGGATATATATACACTATGGAGATGGGATTGGAAAAAAATTTCTCGGTATCGATCGATCGATCGATCGACCGATCGATGCGGACGGTAGTCACTCACTTAATAATCGATACGGTCGAACGGCATCGTGTAACCAATCAATTCGATAGACGGTCGGCGAAAATTATCAATTCCGTCGGCGGGAGACGATGGTTCGTTTACTCGTTACCGGTTTAAACGGTGTTTTGTTGACGCTTCGGAATATCTCTCTACTCTGTGCAAGTTAGTCTCGTCGATCGGGGAAGACAGGCGCGGCGTGGTGCGAGACAAGGGTGCATCCAGTGGTCGATGCGAGGCTAACCCGTAAACCCGCGTGCACGCGTATTATGATACACAACAGGTCGGAGTTTACTCAACCCCGAGTAAAAACACACTGGGGCCTCGGCCTCGCGAGCAAGCGAAGTGTTCAGTGTCGGCCAGCACGGCTGCGCGACCCGTGCGTGGCGCTTCGCTTCGAAAAATCACGAGAACGTTGTCACGGCCTGCCGCCTATTATCCAACGAGCCACGTGATTGGTCGAGCGCGATCATGTGACTCCACCTACGAGCGCCGGCCAATAGGAAGGTCGGTATTAAAGGGAGAAGCGTGGACGCCTCTGCGGCTACGTTGCTAAGGATCGAGCGACGGTCCTAACCTAGTCACGCCCTCGTAGCTCGCGCAGGGCCGACGCAACAAAAGCGAGACAATGAGCATCGCCCTGTGTGGTGTGAGAACACACGCGAAATTTTTCCGCGCGCGACTTCACGGCCGTCGGATACTTTTCCCCGGTACTGTCAAATTAACGAATTTGACGGTAGATTGGAAACTTGCTCGTGGATTTCGCCGAATTCTTTTCTTCCTCTTTTGAAAAGTTTCAACAATTTTGAGCGCTGTTTCCTGTCCTGTAGTCGCGGGAAGGATGTCGCAGAATTACGGAAAATTTAGAAGTGAAAAAATACCGACGACCACGTGGTGCTTTGATCCTGATCGATTCGCGTTCTTACCTCATGGAACATTTGACAGTGTACGTTTACGGAGAACAGAGTGAAAAATTTCGTACTAGTCATCGGAGATTCGCAACTAGTGGTAACGATCGTTTCAAATATATTAATAATCATTATCTTAATCATTGTCCTCCGTCACTTGTCTTTCGATATCTTGTAAATATTTTAAATTATTCGAACGCCTTATATTTTTTTCAATCAATTTTGGAATATTCGTATCAAAAATCGATATCTTGATATCTAATCAAGATCTATCACGAACGAATACTTTTTTTTTTCTTCGAAATAAGAAAGCATTTCTAAATAATCAAAAGTACGTTTACTCAAATCTTGAAACTGATAATTTTATCGATCCTATCGTTGCAATGCTCTCGACTGCGTCGTAAGGAATGGAAGTTGTGTGTATTTCATTGAGGTTCGTCCTCAAAGACGCGACGACACTTCTTACTCGAGAAATACAGATAGGTGTGTAATCCGTTGACGAAGAAACTGCAGAAACCCCGGAGGAAAAGGCTCTTGAGTGGTAGAGTTATATAGATAAGGGAGAGACATCACGTTCTTATAGACGAGGGATTCAATTTGGCGTCTGTTTTTCCAAGGGTTCGACTCCAGTCTTGCGAAAACACTCGAGAGGACACCTCGGCTTCCATCTTAGCGTTTCTACTGCTCCTCACGAATCCTCCTTCTCCTCTTCCTCCCCCTCTCCCAAACTTCTATCCAGGTTCTCAAAATATCTTCGATCGGCGTGATGTTCCACTTTTTCGTTTCCTAGTTCCGCGAATGCGTTTCACGACACGTCACGTGCGCCATCCGCGACAATTTTTCAAACTAATCGATAGATCGAACGGTAACCAAGAGTTTTTTACTTCGATGTTTCCTAACCAATTACGACCACTTTTCGTTTCGTAATAATACTTGCTACAAGTGAATACGATTGTATACGGTTTTATAGATTATTCCATATAGATAAAATTTAAAACCATGATTAAAATTATATAAAAATAAAGTAGCGAAAACGTAATAGAAATACGTATAATACGTATAAAGAATTTTATATATATATACTTATATAACGATCTTGAGAATCTTTTGCAGACAGTCTGCAGGTTAAGAATGTAATTGCAAAATTCGCAAATTGCGGAAGCCTTCGAGACAACAAACAGGAATGTTATCTTAAGACAACATTTCATACAATGATTTATCAGATCCTTGATAAAAATTGTCTGGCATTGGTTCCCATAATTTAGCCGACGACGAGCAACACGAATGTTTGCGACGATCGTAAAAGAAAGTAATATTACTAATTTTAAATTCATTGTCGCTCGCGAAAAGATATTCGAATTATAATTTTTTAATCAAAAAGTAACTCTGTTGGTAAAAATCGATAATCTTCGAGTTTTACGTTCTACGGATATATATATATATATATCTTAAATCATAATTTTCATTAAAATTTTGTTAGTACATCTATTCCACACATGATACGTAAATATTTTTCGTATAAACACCACTCGTTATATATTTTTATAAGATTCTACGAATCTACGTGTAGGTATACTTGCATACCTGCATTTTTGTTTTAAACGTTATGAAAATATTTATCAGCCGGTATCGTTTTATTCGAATAATATTTTATTTAAATAATTTCGAAGAATCGATAGTGAAGAATGAAGAAGAAATACGTGAGATATAAAATTATCTAATTTAAGCAAGTTAGTTCTAGATCATTATATTATTTTTAAAATGACTTTATCGTTCTTGATTTTCTCTTTTTCTTTTTCGTTTCCTCGCACATACGCGCGAATTTCACAAGGAAAAATCGATGACACGGACCCGACGTCTAATTTTCATTTAAATGAAACGACGTTCGCTCTAGGTGTTTCGATTCGGTCCCTTCCCTCCCCCGTCGCTATCCTCGAGGCTACACGGGGAGCGCTTTCGAACTTTCGGCCAAAGTTTAATTGTCTTTTGCTTGCGTTCTATCTAAATTCGTCGTCACTCGCCGTAGCCAATTTCTCCAACGGTTAATCCATTTGATAAGATGGTGGCGGTTTTTTCTTCGTCATTGTTAAAGACGAAAAGATGTGACATTCCCTGCGTATCACTGGAAGTGACTAACTTGCAATTACGAGAATAATTCAAATGTAATTGTCAAGTAACAACAACACGTGTATAAGAATATTGCGTGACAATATTTTAAAAGAAGAAGAAAGAAATCGTTATTTAGATTCTTCCATTTCTTCCCAAATTATAGGTATTATTTTTTCAAATAATCTTCAGGAGTTACGAATATTTACGAATTTTTTATGATAATAATCTTTTAGAAATAAATTACACATCTCTTTTTAAGATGATATAAATATTCAACCACTGAATCACGATTATCCGGCTAATAAAACTAGAGAAATTTACTAAAAGTGGAATTATTCGATTTGATTTCTCAACACGTGTACTTCAATACTTCTTCGAAAAAATATCGATAATGAAAAATATTTCATATAAATATTATAATTTTTTTTCTTTTTTTTTTTTTTGCACAATAATATTTTCAATATCGAATTTTCCAGACATTTTACCGACCGTTAACGTTATTTGAACGTGCATAGTGTAAATAGTGGCAGGGAATAACGGCGAGTTTTTTCGAATCTATCGAAAATATTGAATTTAGAAAGAAGAATTCAAAAAAAAAAAAAAAAAAAGAAAAAAATTCTCAAACACGAGATAGAGTTACGGTTATATTATAATTCGAGCAAGTTACAAATGTAAGAAAAAGTTTGGGACGAAGGATCGGGGATAAGACGATAAAAACGATAATAATTTCTATCCTCGTTTTCGCGTTGAGTCGTCGACAAGCACCTCTCTCGACGAGGTGTTTAAGAAATTTCGAGGTCTTTCCAAATAAACCACCGCCATGACCTATCCCATACGATCGGCCGACGGTGAATATGGCCGGGGCTCTTTTTTGCCCGGCAGAAACAATAAACTCGGAATTTCGTGGCCTCGCCGCCACGTTGCGTCACGTCCTCGCCAAGGAAAGTACTACATTTTCTTTATGACGCACGCTGTTCGCGAGGAGGAAAAAAGTATACATTGCACAGTGCTGCCTTCTGTAAATGTTTCGCGACGTGTCCGCTTAGACTCGCGTTTTTCATCCTTTCCAATTCAAATCTTCGTTTGAAAGTTAATGCTGTTAAATAGTCGCTTTTATACTCGTCTTGCAGTGCTTAATTCGATATACGGTGTGGTTAACGTTTTCAATATTGGAAATTGAAATCTCCGTTCGAAGGTTAGTGTTGGAATTTATATTTATCTTACAAGTAATGTACTTAACATAAAGAAATTACGTTTGGATCACGTTTTCAATGCTGGAAATTTGAAGGTTGGTATTAGAATGTTAGTTGGATTTTATACTTGTCTTACGAGTAATGTGGTTAACATAGATATCACGTTTTGAAGGTTAGTGCTGGAATGTTACTTTGAATTTATAATCTAATCTTAGAAGTAATGTGTTTAATTTAGAGAAATTCAGTTTGGATTTTCAATGTTGGAAATTGAAATCTCCATTTGAAGGTTAATGTTACTTTGTTCGATTATAGGTTAACTCAGAGATAGAAATTAGGTTAGTGGATAGGCAATGGGTTCAAAGATTATTAATCATTTTTAATGTAACACGTAACAATCGATACATAAGAATAAGATTATTTGTAATATTTGTCGAATCGATAAGAAAAACAGACGAGAATCTGATAACGATT